TCATCACATGCAAATTTATGCATAAACATCTATTTGCCAGTGGAATTTGGAGAGTAAGGAGTGTATTCTCCTGCTGACTATTTAAGGATTCCATTAACATACCTGAAAACTATTTATTTGAAGGCTACAAATTAGATTTTTGTTTAGCTGTGATGTTGCTTTAAGGCTAAAAGGTAACTAATACAAGGTCATAATCTTTCCCTTGATTTCTAACACTTTACAGGGAAAATGTGTTTGTTTTTTGTTCCCTAATTGCTTCAGGCATGGACAATCAAAGCATAACAAGCAAGTCAATGGCCCACTTCATCTGTGCTAATATGTTGAAAAGGAGCGAAAGAGGAAAGGAGGTAGATGCCGGCCTTTTTAGTTTGAAGTGTGGAGCATGGCAGATGATGAATTGAACATTAAACAGGAACCACTGTTGGCATCGTGCTGCAGAGGAGCAGGTTCAATCAGGGACAGGTTTCAAAGCGCCAACTATTAGCTTATGTAAGTCTGTGTCAGTAGGTCAGTTTGTTCTATTTAAATAAATAAATAAACAAACAAAAGCAGCGACGCATGTCATTGTGCAACACAACGTCCGACTCTGTGAGCCTGAGTTGCATCACAGACAGCTGAGTACAGTTGTAGTAGTTTAACCACACAAGGGAATGATCGGATCTTTTACTTAATGAAAAGTGGATCAAACATTTTATTACGAATGATGTTATTCTTTTTTGTGAAATGAATATTGGTTTTCAAGCAAATCTAATTTTGTTGTTAAGATTTACTAGCTTCAGTCGTTTGGCAATTAATGTTAAAAAGAAATTGAAATTAAATTGAAATTTTTCCTTTAAATGAATATGTCATATATTTACCCCAAAAAATGTAGATACTGTGCAGTAGGCTGCTGCTGCTTCCTAAGATGCATTTACTATCAGATGAGGCTGGTATTCAGCTTGACAGAGCAGAGGACATGTAGACTGGCTGGAGATGGTGATGACTTGGATTTGGTGACATGCTTGCTGCTCTGTAAAGGCAGCCTTGATGTCACTGTCTTCCTGTCTTTGTCTTTCTTGGCATGTTTTATCAGATCAAGGTATTTTACCTGCCTGTTCAGAAGTCTATAGTTGTTTACTTTATCAATAATTCTGTTAAAAATAGGGAAAAGTCCTATCAGTCTTTTAGGGTTTGACACTGTACACTTGTTCCCATTGCTACTTATACCTATAGGGCATTCAAGCATTTATTGAACACTATCCACTCTCCCTGCTATTAGAGCATAAACGGTCACTGATTGAGAATAAATTCTGCAAAACAAATGTGCACTTTATATTAAAGACAGAGTTCATTTAGTATTGGATGCATGATAAATTCATGCAGATTCATGCAAGAGGTAAAAAAAAAAAGAAGACATTTCCCTTAATGTTGTGTTGGATAGATTGTTAACTATATTCATAGAGCAAATACAGTTTTTTTTATTCATTTTTATATTAAATTTAGTAACAGTCACACACAGGAGTGTGCTAACGCTCTATCACTGGCTTACAGATACAAAGACAGTAAAAGTCATTGAGAAGAGCACTTTTAATGTCATTTTTTAGGGTAAATATTGAATTAGCTGTCAGCTGTAACACATTGAGCCAATAGGATTGACCCATAAATGTCAGTTCATATGATGCTTGTGTTAATTATCAATATGTTACAAAATGCAGTCTGTCCTTGGTTTGGGATTGGTCTTCACTGGATCCAGATGATTTAAAATGTTTCACTGTTCTGCCAGCTCAGCTGTCAATCAAACACACTGTCCCACCCACACAGAGGCTTGAAGACTATATAAAGGATCACTTCTCATTATTTTAGGTATTGCTCTGGACATAGTTTCTTTAACAAATTTCTTCTTGCAGCAAAAAGGTGGGCCTGAACTTCCCTTTAGCCTTAGCTCATCCTGAATATTTTACCATAGAAACAGAAAAAAAGCAGCGAGTTCAAGAAAGAGAAACAGAGTCAGAGCGAGACAGAGACAGAGACATAGGGAGACGAGGAAAAGTCAGGGAGCGGGAGGAAAGGAGAGACATGCCAGGCTGCCAGTTTTTTTTTTTCCTCAATCCTTCCTCCCCAAAAACCAGCAGCTCATTTTGGGCAGTGATTCAGCAAAAATTGATTTCAGGAAGAGAGTGCGAGTGTGGAGGGAGAGAAAACGTGTGGAGACTTTAGAAACTCCAGCCCAAAGTTGTTTCAAATGATGCTCTGCTGCACTTTGCAAAACTGCTCACATACACGCTGCTGCTCAGAGGGGAGACAGGTCTGCTCCTCTCCCAGACGCTGTCACACTTTATCAGTTATTTAGGCCGACAGACACAGCCATATACCGTAAAGTATTATTCTATCTTGTGCTTTAATGGAACATTATGCACTTATTTCTAATCCGTCCTCTCCCAAAATACTCAGTGTAGTTGTTATCAGAGCGAAATCTCCTCCCTCACCGCCTGTGTAATGATGCAAATCCACTGTATTGGGGATAAAAACTGCAGCCTCTTTCATGTCAAGCCACAGCACTTGCATTTAATTACTGTAGTCTCGATGTGATGGTGATTTATAGCAGAGAAAATCGCCATCAGAAGCCAGAGATTCCCCGTGAATCTGTGACATCTGCAGAACACATTTCTGATTGGCTCATGCTTGATCCTTTCTAATGTTTCTTTCCTGTTTTTGTGAATTCTGTGATGTAACCGAGATTATTCTGGTGATCAAATGCGTTTGAAAGAAATCGGGAGGGGCCAAACGGGAGTCATGTGCACTTTAAGCATAGACAATTTACAATATGTGTAACTGTGTATTTTCTTCAACATATGGATGCAAGTAAAACTGTTCAGTAATCATGCACATGACCGAGAAGCTGTCATATGTTAAGATGCGTGCGCTTTCTGTCAACAAAAGGATGCTCGAAAAAGTCCTTCTTCAGAGCATTTTACACTGACTGGGGTTACTGTTCTTTATATATAAGGTCCAGTCTGCTATAGTGGTGCATCTGCGCTGGGATACTGTACACACTCTCTGCAATCTGGAGGGATTTGATATTCTGCTCTCAGCCCAGACTTGCAGGATGCTCTCTGCACTGTGTGGAAATGTAGTTTCACTGGACTGAACTAGTGTGATAGGAATGGTGATAGAAAGTGAATGAGTGACTCAGCTGTAATATAAAGTCAGATTGGCTGGGTAAGCAAATAAAGAAATAAGTATATGTATGAGATAGCCTGAAGAATGATTTTAGATTTAGATTTTTTTTTTTTTTTTTAAATAAGAGACGTTTAAAATGTTCCTCCTTTATCTGTCCTCAGGGAGCGCATGCAGCAGTCGGCCATGTACGACCTGTGTCTGGGCATGAGGCAGGTGAGCCAGGAGTTTGTCCGACTGCAGCTAACCTACGACGAGTTCCTCTCCATGAAGGTCCTTCTGCTTCTCAGCACAGGTAGGCTCTGAGCTACATGCCGGCAAAAAGGGGATTTACTTATGTACTCACTATGAATACCTACCTGCTCTCTGTTTATGACAATGACTGAATCTTTTCCCGAACTCCCCCACGGGCAGAAATGAATGACTGTGGACAGAATTGTCATTTAGAAATCGTCGTTTAAAAAATATTGCGTAGTCAATATTAATTCCAAAGCAAACATTTATTGAAATTTCTTGCAGTCCACAACTCAGACTAAGTTTATCAGAACATTATTCAGTTTTTTAATGTAAAAAGCTTGAACTAGACAATGCTTAGACGTGAAGTTCAGACAGCTGTTCTCTTCAATATAAGCTGCTACATTGGCAATATTCACACAGTGGCCATTTTGTTCTGATCACAAACTCAAGGTGGAAAACTAAAATGCTCATCTTAGAAATGTTTAAAGATAGGGCATCTTACAAATAATTGTAAATGACCACTTTTTTAAGAGGGTGGCTGTGGCTCAGTTGGTAGAGTTGTCGCTTCTCAACCGGAAGGTCAAGGGTTCAATCCCCAGCTTGACTCAAAGTGCTTTGAGTAGTTAGAAGACTAGAAATGCGCTATACAAGCTCAAACCCATTTACCATTTAATAAATCACGAACTAACGAGACAATGCGAAGTGATAATTTGTTCTGACATTATGCCATGTTCATAGAGGAAACAACATATTCGATTGCTTATTGGTAGAATGCTAACTTTAGCGCCCATTAATGTCTGCAATTGTAATGTTGGCATTCTACCACGGACTGGCCTACAGTATAGTTTGATTGTTTTGCAGTTTGTGATGGAAAAGGAGTAATAAATTGTAATCTTGCATGTAGCCCGTTGTCTCTGGATTTTTAATCTCCATTGTCTTTAGAGTGACTGATCAATGATGAAAGTGATTAGATGATGACCTTCTTTGATTTGACAAACATGTAACAGTTTCATGAAACATGAAACTGAAATATTATTATGTCAAACTTCATGCAAATTGCTGAAGCTGAGCACTTTTTTGAGCTAAAATAAAAAAATAAAAATAAAAATAAATAAAATGAACTACAGGGGTGATGCAAGATAATAACTAAGCCATCATGGTGGAGCACCGTGTTGTCAGACTACGCCCACAGGTACTGTAGCCTCACAGGGAAGTTGGACCAATTTGCTCATTTGGAAACAATATTTTTTCCCACCAACTCGACACCCTTTTGCGAGCTGCTGCTGTCAGTATAATAGTAACAGTTTCAGATTCCAAGATGGCGGGTGTGTCATAACTCAACCATCCACACACACACACACACTCAAATTTGGACAAATGAGATCTGCTACAGTTTCGTATCTGTCTTGGTGGAGCCTCGTTTGTGTTCATTTCATAGCGTGTCAAAAGATGTCCGATGATTAGAGAGAGAGTTAGGATAAGGTGGGTGAGGGAGAGTTTTAGGGAGCTATTTGAAGAGCTCACATGCTGGCCAAACTTCAGTCTCTTTGAACTTCAGCATCAGTGCCAATCAGTGGAAATATTCATTTGCCAAGTATTTCTTTTTCAGTTAGTGAGGCCTGTGAAAGTGGCATGTGAATGCTGGACTTACCTCGGCAAAACTCATCCTTTGTAAGTGTTACATCATCCTTGTGCCACAAGCTCATCCATTAAACATTTAAATTTTGGCCAATTAACTGACAGCTTTATCCAAAGGGGGGTTATACAGAGAGCAACCAAGGAACACGCTTATAGTTTTGCATCATTAACATCAATTTGTAGTTGGAAACTGCTCGGATATTGACTCAGATATATCAGTGGCTTTACACTAATAATGGCATAATTCAAATCAAGCTACCAGGGCTTCAACATTACTGAAGATTTTTCCCCCCCCAATAAATTCTCCACTTATTCTGTTATCCTAGCCCCGATTTGTTTCCATTTTGGCAATGAAGTAAAAAAAGACTTCAAATGCAGCCTTACAGTTTCTGAGCCAGAGTATGCAAAAGTCTTAAAGCTGTAGTCCAATTTGCCAGAGCACAGTTTCTCCCTGGCCAAAGCTAAAACAAGAATGATTCCTTTTATGATATGTTGTTTTTATAATCATTAAAAACTAAAAACATTACAACAAGATATATAAAGTTCATTACATACAGCATTTTCAAACATTCTGTGAGTAGATTTCTAAATATACAGTTTCTCCCTGGCTTATGGTATATGTTTGGTTTGGCTTCATAGTACAGTGACATATGGAAGAGCCGGTGTGTGGACGCATTTGCCTGATATAAACTCTGTTGTTGAGTCATCTGGAAGCAGGGGGGCTCCGGCTGGACCTCAGCTTGTGGATGTTTGGGAGGGATGAGAAAGAGAGAGAGAATAAAGAGAGAAACCAAGAGGGAGAAAGGGGGATTTAAAGAGTGAAATCAGACAAATGTTGACATTGAGAGCCGGTGCTGGTGAGGCAGAGACAGGTGCATAGCTATAGGGAGAAAGAAAGAAAGAAAGAAGAGACAAAGGAGAAAAGGGGGGGGGGGTGTTGGCAGATCTGGTCCTTCTGTTGCTGTGGCCTCCCTCTCCTCTTCCTTGCTGGTCCTCTGGAGGTTTTCCAGAAAGTCCTGCTGTACTTAATAAAGGCCAGTCAAGGGCCAGGCAGCGCTCCAAGACCTGCTATTTTTCTCCACTTCCTTCAAACCCGGGCTGGAATTTTTGAAAGGAGAGAGTGTGGATAAAAGTACACAGACCCAAAACAGGGAATTAAAGGTTCTTTAAATAATCTGCTTCGATTATTAGATCCAGACATTATAGGGCTTACATAAAATATTTCTTATTCTGAGAAAATGTAAATAAAGTGCTGGGTTTCTCTTGTGCACTGGAAAAAGTGTCTGCACATTTCCATAAAAAGTGAATGTGATAGAGCTACTTCCTGATTCAGCTTTTATGAGCATACTCTTATCGAAGAGCCTTTCCTGTCTTTCATGTTTATTTTTTCTTTGTTTCTTTCAAGATATATCATATCTACGTTTTTGCCAAAACTATTGATGTAACTTGATAATTCTATGACCTTCTCTTTTATTTTACTTTATTTCATTTGCAAAGCACTTTGCATCCCGGAGAGTGAATAAAGGTTATTATCATTACAATCATTATCTGGCAAATACTTCAAGAAAGTATTAGTTAGATTAAATAATGCATTTTCTACAGAAAGCTTGTTCTTGGTTACAGTGGTTCAGTGCTAATGCTAAGGCCTTTTGGAAGCAGCAGTGGAAGAAATGTTTACAGAGGAGTTGTCAGAACTTGTCAGTGGAGCAAATACTACAGAGTCACTGCGTGTGTGTGTGTGTGTGTGTGTGTGTGTGTGTGTGCGCCTTTGGGCTGGTTTGAAAAATGTGTATGTGTTCATGTGTGTGTGTTCGGGGTGAACGGGTGAAAAGGAGAGAGGAGGAGGAGAGAGAGAGAGAGAGAGAGGGATAAGGAGAAAAGAGAGAAGCGCTGTTATTCTCTCTCTCTCTCTCTCTGACCTTGGCTAAGGTTTCACTGAGCCTGCGGTGTCTTATGACCCTGTTTAGATGTGGTACGGGAGCAGCGGCCTGCACAAACCAGTTACACTCCTCACCTCAAAGCAGACTCACATAATATTGACAAATTATCCCGTTCGTTTGCTCTCCAACCAAACTGTCTTCTGTGTTTGGCCTTGATCTTGACGATGTGAGTGTGTGCACCCATGTCAGGAATTGGGTGTATTTTTTTGTGACAGATTTTACAGTTGGGTTAAGCATTAGATTGATAATTGCTGTTTCTAAAAATACTGCCTTGATTTTCATTCCATTTAGTCATTAGTGTTTTTGGTTTGTGTTTAGATTTGATTTTCCTGCTCGACAAGCCAATAGAGTTTGAGATGTTACTGTAATGCTCAGGGTGAGTTGTTGAATGAATAGTAACAGTATGTACCGACAACTCAGAGCAGGAAGCTGCATGTCTTTCGAAAAAAACAAGCAGACACCTTCACGCTTCATTAGCAATGTCTGCCTCTTTATAAACGGGTTTTTCGGGTCTTTGTTCGCATGCACCTCTCTACCTGCAGCAAAAGATTTCTGTGACACCTGTTATGTCATCAAAAACGGCCTATTTTCAGGGGGAGTTGACGATTACAGCTCCTAAATGAAAGGTCACTTTCTAATCAGGGTAAATATGGGTCAGTGGGAGGAAAACAAAGTCCAAATGAGGCCCAGGGTATTTGCACATTCTCATCATGCAGTTGATGAATTACAGCATGGAAATCCCGGCCTCTGAACCGTGGTCCAATATGTCTTTAATATCTGCTTTAGTCAGTCCAGTACGACCTCATATATTTGAAGGAGGATTGTGCAATGCAGGGCAATACAAAGAAACAGAAAGGAGCGTTCTTGACCTGCACTTACTTGTTCACAAATAAATGCAATCCCAAACGACAAGAAGTAGACTTTTGCTCATGGCAATTATTTCTAAAAGACTCAGATGCTGGTTTTTGTATGTGTTGTTGGTTGGTTATGCTTTTGCTGCTTTTTTTGTGCTTACAGTTTTGGAAATAAAAACCCAGCTCATTAATTTAATTAATGAAATAGTTTAATTATTTGAAGCAAAATACCAAATGTGTCCTTTTTTAAGCTTCTCTCGTGAAGATATACGTTTTTTTATTTTTATAAACAACATTCAATTGTTTTCTTGTTTAACTGCAGAAAGTTTTGGGGGGCTTTTGTCTTTATTTGGATAGGACGGCTTGAGAGACATGAAAGAAGGGGAGGGAGAGAATGGAGGATTACATGACTGTACCAAACATCATCAGGATCAGGAGTCGAACCTGTGACCATGTGTAATAACATCCAACTGTTAATTGAATTTCAGTGAGCGTTGATGAGACAGAAGAAAGTGAAAACATGCATGGATCAACTGATAATAAACGTTATAATAAATTGCAGCCCTAATCCACATTACAGTAGGAGCAAAGTAAACGCATCCAGTAATTATTTAATGATTTGCTATTTTTTTGCCCCCTCAATAATCATTCACACCAGAGGATGAGAGGGTCACATCATGGATCAATTTTGCTGATACAGTCAATCATTCTGAACAGGAATTTTGAAACTTTTTTTGAGCGTCACACATTGAAAAGAAAAAATCCTGCACACTACTCTTGCTAAGCATCATCAATTCTTTTACATGTCCTATGCACCTACTTCACAAGATAGTTGGATGTGGAAACAGCTCCTCAGAAACTTATTTTGAGGAAATAATTAGGAATAATTGTCTGTTTTTGGTTAATCCAACACACCCCTAATACGCCCCCATCATTACCTTAAATGACCTAATACGCCCTCAGGTATAAAAGGCAAAGATTCCTTGGTATGCACGCCTCTATTGTTTGACAAACTCAAATGGTGTCATGGTATGTAGCCATGTCATATCTATTGGCTGAAGGACAAGTGGAGGTGTTTCCTCAGACTGATTTGAGCTGCACTCTGTGAGAAGTGAGGTGTTTCTTAATGTGGAAGCCAGCGGATGAATGTAATTTAAGAGCGTTGGCAAACTTCCATATCTGTGACTTTGTTCTCCTACACAGTCAGGGACAGAGAAAGAGTGAGGAAAATCTTGCTTTAATACACGCTCTTTAATACACTGTTGTTCCCTTTTCTGTTGCTGTAGCTTCCTGGCTAACTTTGAATTAATGCCTCTCAGTATATCAGTGGTCTTTCATGAATCAGCGACTGCACGTGAAAACTAATTACCTCTTGAAATGGTGAAAGTGGTTTTAACGAGTTGCTAAATGGGCTCAGGCCGACAACACAGGGAAAAAAGGTCCAAAAAAAGGCTGCTGTGTGGGAGTGAGAGTGTAATTCACTGAGCACCTTTAATTATCCTACGCACAGTTACACATTTCTGCGTTTAAGGAACATACCGGTGAATTTGCCAGGCTCAGCCCATTATCTGTGAATGGTGTTTCAAGTGCAGCTGCCTGCCATTCTCTAAAGTGTATCGTAAATACATGAATACATATCACGATGCTGCTGGTTCTTTCATCTCTCATATCTGTATGAAAGCAGCTTAAAAATGCTTGCAAAACCTTGTAAACCATTTAAAATCCATTAAAGGGGGGGGGGCGCTGGTAACCTAGTGGTTAGTGCACGTGCCCCATGTACGGAGGCTATAGTCCCTCCAAGCGGGGCGCCTGGGTTCAAATCTGACCTGTGGCTCCTTTCCTGCATGTTATTCCCCACTGTCTCTCTCCCTGATTTCCATTTTCATCACATAGAAAAAACAATACATGAAATGGTTTACCATAAGTTGTGTTCAACATAACTCTTTCTTTATGGCTTTCAAATGTTCCCATTTGGGAGTTTTTGCTTTTCTAGTTTTCACGTTCATATAAAACGTAGACTGCTGGAAAGAAATACTCGTAAATTACAGAAGAAAATGTGTGAACACATTTTAATAGTGTTTTTTTTTTTCTAAATCTGGCTCTTAATAATCCATTTTTTATTTGAATCAACTGAATATAAAGTTCTTCTTTGTCAGTGTATCAACAGTGGTGTTTTCTTGTTGGTTTGTTTTTGTCCTCCAGGTTTGACTACCTGATAAAAAAAAATAGTGCAATTACTTAGATTAAATTCAATATACACACACAAAGGACGGGATTTTAAAAACAGAGAGAGAGAACAGTCCCTGCTTTTTACCAGAAAAAAACACAAGTGATTGAAAATTGAGGACTGGTCAATAACAATCAATGAAATTCACAACGATTTAATTTAAAATCGTGGCATGAATGTGACATAGGCTATAGAATGAAAATCTATTAAAAACACTTTTAATGGATTCTTAATGGGAAAGTTGTCTTCGGCCTGATCATGGTAGTACTTCATTAAAGTTACACAAATCATAATACATAACAGGAATGCTAGTCATACACTTAGCATCATTTTCTGTAATAACCTAACAAAGGTTCAGGTGTTGACTTGGATACTTAAGTCATGAAGGAATCTCTTATGAATATGAATCGATCTGATAAGTATTGACGATGCTTATTAACATGAAGCACACAAAACATGCATAGCTAATGTGGTGTAATATTGAAAATGCACTAAAGTTGAAAATAAGTCTTAGCTAATATTTTGAGCTTTATGTTTAGTGTTCCAGCCCATAATGTCAAAGCTTCAGATATCTCTAATAGGTCCCAGTTCAAATGTATTTTAAATGAGCACAATGTCATACCATGATGTTGTCTGTTTTCTGAAATCCAGGTGATGACACAATGTTCCTGTTTCTCTGTTTTCTAGTTCCCAAAGAGGGTCTGAAGAACCAGGCGGCATTTGAGGAGATGAGGGTTAACTACATCAAGGAGCTTCGCGTTCTGTGGGAAAAGCAACCAACAACTCTGGGCAGACCTGGCAGCGCTTCTTCCAGCTCACCAAACTACTGGACGCCATGCATGATGTAAGTCCCCTCACCCCGTCTGCCTACCATGCCCAGTCTCCTACAGTACACAGACAGGCTTCCCCCCGCGGCATGTCTGTATGCCATGCCTTCACACAGACTGAG